GCATAATAAAATAAAATGAGGTTGCCTTAAAATAAAGGAATAGAGGGGGTGGTGGGAAGAATGAAGCTGTATCTTGCAGTTTCAGATGGGTCTGTACTTTATTTCTAAAAGGATAATTTACCACTTGGACTGGGAGGCAAATTTTGTTTTGGGTGTTTCCTTCTTTTTAAATTTATAAGTGGTGACTCGAGCAAAAGTGCCTTAAATTGGGAATTGTAGAAAGGCTGTTTGGTGTGTGGAGTTGACATGCATCTGCAGTTGTTGCCTTTCCACAGTATCCCCATAGCTATTATGGTTTATTTTATGACACAATATTTTGGAAGGGCTCCAAAGGAGCTGTCATGGCCTGGTGTGTCAGTGATGTACATAATGGGAGTGCATTGTGTATGATGGACCCAACACAAATGCAGTAAAGCAAGCACAGCAGGAGCATAGGGAGACTCGGTAATAACCATCTCCTATTAATGCTAGGTTTTTAAAAATGTTAGTCATTAGACTGTTGCCCATTTAGTAGAGATACAGTATGAATTAGAACAGAAGATTTCATTCTGAATTCCACTCCTGGCTACAGATTCCCTGTGTGGTCTTAGGCAACTGACAGAGGGACACTGTTGGATAAATATTGCCCAATGCTTCAGATTTTTTACAAAAAAAAAGGTTTTCTATAATCTGGTAACGCACATATTTTGATCTATTTTTAAAACCAGGGGGAAAAATTCCTTGGCATTGGTTAACCTAGATCTTGAAATGTTTTCCCAATGTATGCAGACCAGAAAGCAAAATGGGTTAAATAATCTATTTTCATTATACACACTGAAATAAATGTACAAAACAAATAGCTAAGGTGGTGAAAGGTTGTACAGAAATCTAGGTTTGATCAATCGGGAGTGTTCAGGACATTGATAAAGAAAAGTCTTTAAAAATCAGATTTTTAGTCTTAATTTTTCTGTGGGCTTATCTGTAAAATGGGTATGATTTGTGCTTGGCTAATTCCATTAGCTGGAAATGAATGTTTCCAAAGTGCTTTATTCTTTGGGGAGCTATCCAATTACAACTTGTTTGCTGAGATTGTCCTGAAGCAAAAACCCCTTTGCTGGGTCCCTATCATATAGCTGTGCAGTGTGTTTTTGAGCTTTCTCCATTGATTCAAATGGAATTAAAGGAAGGAGAAGATCCTTGAAGGAAAGAAAAAACGAAAAAACCCTGTTTTCTCACTTATTTATTTGGGCTAATTATTTTGCTGGCTGCGATTTACCTGGGAGCCAGGAATGAATTGGTTCTAAGCCTGCCTCTGATATTCCACTCTGTGGGTTTGGACTTGTCACTTGATCTCTGTTCTTCAGCGGACCAATTGGTAGGTTGGGTATAATCAGAAAAGTTTTGGGAGGAATAACTTGGGTAAAGGCTTTGAAAGCAGTGCCTAGCACGAATTAGTGGTTTACATTTCAATTGGCTGTACAAATGCCAGCTCCTCTTAAGGGTTCTCTGTTGGGCATTCTTTCGGAAGTGTCAGTGCCGTAAGGGTCGGATGCTGTTTCGTACGCAGTCGGTGAGTCGACTTCACTTGATTCCAGCAGCAGAATGGCAGAGTCCTAAATCCTTGTTTGTGCTGAGAATTGAAACCATCTTTGTGTTTTTCCACGAGCAGCGAATAAAACCGGCATCTTGCTCTGGTTGCATTAACACAATTTCCCTGGCCAGTCAAGAAAGTGCATAGCCATGTACTGTACTTCGGGAAGCAAGAAGATAATCGTGCATTAGTGCTTACTTATCCTGCACTTACCTTGAAACTCTCCCACTCTGTGTGCAGGCAGGCCCAGCTAGCAGATAAAAAGCCTTCACTGGAAATAATGAGGTCTCTGGTTCCTTTTCTAGAGCCTTCATCTTGCATTGCAGTGCTGATTTGTCCTGAGCTTGTGAGTACAGCTGCCTTCTGGGGTTATGAAAATAGGTTACTTTTCACAGGTGGTAATGTACTAGCTTCACCCAAGCACCAGGGCTTATTTTCTAATGCTTCTTTAGAAGTTGTTTTCTGGCAGTGAAATCAAAATAGGATTTCCTACTTTTTAAATGCTGCAATGACTTTGAACCAAATCTTCATTAGAAGTCTGTTCTGAGTCTATTCTGGTTCCATGAAAATCAATTACTCCTCCTCTTCCTCCAGTTATGGATCTTTCCTGGGTATACAGGTAGCAGAGTCTAATTCTGTATATTTAAAAGTGTTTTCTCACATAGGGAAAAAAATCTAGATACTTTTCTTTTCCTCCCATTTGTTGTTCTCTGGTTTTCCAAGACTAAAGGAAAAAAGTCTAACAGTGAGATTTAATTGAGTGTGAAATAGTTTCCTACAAGAAGTCATGGGAGTTTGTTGCATGGGATGTTTAAAGCTAGTGTAAACAAAACGGTAGAAGAGGTACCAAGAGCAACAGGTCTGTACTGACAATGGACAATGTGTGAGTAGATCTTTTCTGCCTCTAATTTCTAGGAATCCTTAGGTTTCTTTCCCTTGGCTTATGTACATCTCTAAATTGCCTTTCACAGCTTTACCCTTTTAGCAGTTCATTAATCTTGGTAGTGTGATGACCATCTAATGTAGCATTGGAATTATGCCAGGGCCAAGCCCTAGTACCTCCCATGACTGGAGGTCAGACTAAATGAAAGCGAATCCCCCTTCATTCTGGCAGCCACATTCTGACTGTTCTAACATCCACTCAGGGAACTTCATATTTTATTAAAGATCCAGTATTTGAAAGCTGATTTCTCTGATCTATTGTTGACCAAGATACTCCTAGAGGAGTCTATCAGTTTCTGGCTAATAAATACTTACTGTGCTCCAGGAGTTTCATGTTTTCCTTGAGTACCAACTCAGACAGTGGACAATGGAAAGGTTGCAGGATAGATGATTCCTGGCTCTTACTAGTCCGAATCTGTGATAAACTAGTGGATCAATCCCTGAAGGCTGGCTAATCTTTGAGAATTGCTCCTTCACCTTCTGGAAATTGACATCGCAAGCAACTTTTGACAGGGAGAGGACAGCCATGCTCCAGTCTCTCACTTCAAGCAAAGACTATGCAGACAGATGAGCCAACAAGATGGTATCAGGCTAATGGTCCTCCTCCAGATAATTTATTTTAAGCCATCCAGGACAGGGCTGAAGCACAAAGTAGACAACTAGTTCCCCTATGTGTATTCTGGATCAGACTTTGCTCTCCTCTCCAGCCTTTGGACTGTAGGGGAGGCAGCTTCACTACAGATGCTTTCTTCCTTTTCTGCTCCTCTCCGCATGAAGTGGGAGTAAAGGGGGGAGAACTTGTTCTCCATCTTCCCTCTCTTAATTTCTTTCCTTAACTAGCCGGTCAGTTTACAGCTCTGTTCTTTATGATGCCAGCCCTGGTGCCATGTTGGTGTCGGAAGAAACCTGAACTTTTCTAGGAATCCAACAGGGATAATTGTGTTCATGGGCCTGCTATTGTGCCATTGTGTTTTGCAGGGGAAGGGAGGTTCTTCTCCCTCCCCCTTCTATGTGTGTGTGACCACAAGAACTATCCTCCCATGCTCTGTAAAAACAAAAACAAACAAAAAAACCTTTTGAAATGTTACTCGTTGAGCTAGAGCCCTTTGGGCTGTCCAGCCCATTCTTTCTGGTTTTATTCCACATTTGGTATCATGGGTAGCAATGCTGCCATAGAGCCAGGGGTCGCTGGGGTACATTAAATTACTGTTCCCTGTCTTAGTTGTGTAAGGATTCATTTGAGCTCAGGTAAGGTGGTGTTACTCACTTGTCTCAGGATGGCTGAATGGCAGGCATATAAATAGAGGTTTCATGGTTTGTGTTCTGTCTTTCTTGGCACTTGGATTCAATATCCAGAGTTTCTGCCGTGATTCTGCATCTGAGGCTGAGGAACCACAAGTCTTTTCCATTCTTGAATTTCTTCCTGTCGTATGTCCCTTCTGTAACTAATCTTTTTGGGATGCATCCTACAGGCTGTTGAGTAGTTGGACCCAGTGGGTTCTGGAAAGCATTTTTCCTACCTTTTTGTTAAGGAAAAAGAATTCTAGGCAACTTCCTCTGCCCTTGCAGTCTGCCCCTTTGTGTTAAGTTATTGCTACACCATCCTTTGAAATATCCCTTGAGCTGCTGCTTCTCCAGAAGTGAAAAATCTGCGACGATGGTTATAATGTAGCTCTGAAAAATCATCTGGCAAGATACTTGTGCATCTCCTCACCACTGTTCTTTAAAATTTGTGGGTGTTTGGTGAGGGGAAAGCGTTCTGGGCTCAGCCCCTAAGTAATCGCGCTCTGTGATTCATGTGGAGTGTTGCTGTCTTAGTTTTTGTTTTATTCTTTGTGTGTCATTGAAGGCTAAAGAACATCGCTTGCTGAACATGCTTGGAAGAAGCTGGCTGGAATGTCAGATCCCCTTAAGTCAGCCTACAGGTACATCACAGGGCCAAAAATCTTAAGAGCCAGGGGAATTTCCTGCCTGACTTCTACTGGTATGAGACCCAGGAGTGAGAATTTTTTTTCAAGATTGTATTTTCAGAGAAGCACAATTATAAAGAAGGTACATCTTTATTCAAGGCTTGCCAGCATAAAAGAGACTAGCAGCTCAGAAGAGAGGAGGCATTATGAAGCAACATAATCGGAAACACTCAAAGAATCTAAATAATGAAGCAGCCTCTGAAGTTTAGTGCTCTCCTTTGGTGTCTGTCTCAGACCTTGTGCTTGTGCAGCCCCCTGGCAACAACTATAAAAGGGTTGTTTTATGGAGTGGCAGTGTTTTGGAAACATCTTCTAATTTGCAAGTACATCAGCAAAATAAGTTTATGAAGTGAAGCCCCATGTAATGTTTGGGATGTAAAGTTAATGATTTGTAGCATTTTGCAGATGTCAGGAGAAATATTTCTTTTGTGGATAGGACCTTTGCACCTCAAACACCAGCTCATCCAAGGATTTCTGAAATCTCTGGTGAATTCCAGCACAGTTTGAGATACTTCAAAGCCATGTTTCCAATACAGTGTAAATGTATGGGTTTTGTTGGCATTTTTGTTGGTGTTTGGCATGACTTTACATTGCATGTCTGTGTGTAAGCGAGCACACAGTAACTTCTCCAAATGTTTTTCCTTACTTTGGTGATTTCCTGACTTCCTGGACCCAATGGCTTTTGTCAGACCTTAAAAATTACTTATTCTTGCATCCTCGCTGAAGTGTGGGGAGGAGGAGAGAGGACTGGTGTTATCTGTGACCTACCACTTGGAGAGCCTTAAGTTGTAGATAACAAACTTTGTAAACTTGAGAAAATGCATCTTAGTTTATTAATTTGGGAATTCTATTTTGTATATTAAATACCTGGGAGCAGTGAACCCAAATCCATAAGACTCCAGCACTTCCTGTTCCAATTTTTGCTGCCCATGTGAGTGGGTGAAAGAAGACAAGGTGCTGAAAACCAGAAATCCAGGTTCTTTGCTAATGTCTTCATTACATAGAAGTTGCTGAAATAATAGTTATTTTTTCATCCATTCAGTAGTAATAACTGGAGAGCTAATAATTACCCTGGTGGTTTTTAAATTAATTTCTCATGAATTCATACACTGTTACATTCCTTTTCCTCCTTAAGTCTTTCTAGCTTCCCTCTCTCATTCGTATTCAGCATATTTGGCAGAGCAAAATCTCTCACTTTATCTGCATCACCGACTCTGTAGTTAGCTCTGATCCTAGAAACTGACCCCAGTGCTTACAGTGGGCAAAATTACTGCTGGAGGACCAATCTGCAAAAGAAATCAGTCTTCAAGTTTAATAAGATTGCTTCTTCCAGGCCTGTGTCGCTCCAAGCAAATTGGGAATGCACTCAGCCTCTTGTGAAAGTTTGTTATTTTGTTTTTATAAACCTCGAGACCTCAAGTACTTGAGCAGTCGCAAGAGGGAATAAACTCAAGAGCAGCCGAGCAGAGCCATCCCCGCTTTTATTTCTAGTGGCTGTTGTGCTGGATCAGTTGTGGTTGTACCCTGGAACATCATCTGCTGGATCAGTTCTAGAAGTGTGAAACACATTTTTTGCCTTCCTCTTTCTGGTGCCAGGAGAGACCTAGAACAATTGTCCAAAGCTTCAGCCGTGAGACATCAGGGAGTCTTACCATCAGTTTCCTCCCTTGTGATTTAAAGCACTCTCTGCTTGGCATTCAATTCACAAATTCATTCCCACCAAAATAGGGCTGTTGGTTTTTTTGCAATCTACCATTTCATTAAGAAACTTTAACTGCAAAACTAACTGCTTTGCTGAGCTATTTCCTACTTTGGATGCAGATGGACCCAGCTGGGACATAATGCCTGATGTAGCCCCACTTAAAGACTCCCCTCCCCACCCTGCCCCCCTCTTTTTGGCACGGTTAAATCCAGTTGCATTAGGAATTTAATTAGGAGCGAGTTTAATTGTGTTTGGAGACATTCTTTCTTGCATTCAGCTTTCCTAGCAGGGGACTGTATGTCAGACGGACTCTTGGGTCCTGTGTCTGTCTCTGTGACTCTGCTCATGACCTTGTTGCTGTGGGCTTCTGTTCTCTCTTTGTAAAATGAGAATAATGCATGTCTTTGCCTTGAATGCGGTGGGGCTTCATTCATTACAGTTGGCCCTTGTTAAGATCGGCAACAAGCGTTATTACTCTTGTGCTCCCTTGTCTACTCATCTGGAAAACGGGGATGTTTGGCTGCCTTGCTGGAGGCAGTGATGAGCTTCAAAGTGTTTTGTGGATCTCGGACGAAAGGTGCTGTGTGTGCCAGGGAACGTAGCACGGCTGGAATGGCTTGTGATTTCATGGCTGTTTACCATGTTGTACATCTTATCAACTTGGTGTCACCACCACTTCCAAGAACCTTCTCTACAGAAGCATGCACCCTAGTTGCTGATATGAGAAGAAAATCTCTCCTAGCAGTTAGCAGCACAGGGCATGGAGAACAGTCACGCATTTCTGTTGCAGCCTAAAACAGAGGTCAGGGAAATCAGGCCCACCCGCTAGCTCATTGCAGTGGTGTCAGTTGTAGACTTGGTTTGCCCCAAGTGCTAACCACAAGTCAAGAGCGTGGTGTACGCCCTGTGCTAACCACAAGTCAAGAGCGTGGTGTACGCCCTGCTTTCATTTTCTTTGTTAAATTAAACTGTAAACTCATCCATTCAAAGTTTCTGTTCCTTTTGTTGGTTTCTCCTGGCCTCATTTGGGGCTTGCTTCAATAGAAGGAAGCCAAAAATAACAATAAGTGGTGGAGAGAAAGCCACCAGCCTTAATTCCTTGAAAATGAATTCTTTCACAAAAGTCCTAGGTAGAAAACTCCCCTGCCCACCTCTTGTTTGAACACTGCTTTATTACATTAACTTGGCAGATAAAGATACATGTAGCAAATTATTTACAGTATCTGCCTAATGTCTAATAATTGAAGTATCCGCCAGCCTATTTACACTGTGGCAGATTTGGCAGAGTTTCAATTTCAGCTCTACAAGCTGTTACCAAGGGCTCACGCACAGGGAAACGGTTGTAGACTCGGGCCGACAACCGAGCCTGAAAACACCAGCCTATGCCCAGCGCTGAAGGAAGAATCAGATGGATCATCACAGGTGGAACCACTCAGAAAAACCTCAACTGTGTTATGCTGAGTGGGCTTCACAAAGCTGCGCTGCAGTTCAGTTGTGAGGAATTGGGCTTGAGACAGGAATTGCTGGGTGAAGTACTGTAACCTGTGATATGTAGGAAGATTGAAGCCACGACCTTAAAATCTGCATTGCAGCTGTGCTCCAGCAGTTAACATGTGTTGATGAACTGTTAGAGCAGGACTGTATCGCACCCCTGACACGACATCACTTTAATCTGTGTGTTCCTGGTTAGGCATCTGGACCCAGTTATACTGGGCTCCTGCCCCTGCACCACGTTCCATCTGGGTCCAGCTGCAAATGAAGTGGGTCTGGAGTTGCTGGTGGCCAGGTCAGGATTACAGTGTGTATAGCCTGGATGTGGCATTTCGCCTTCTCTGCCTGTTGCTTCCATCTCTATGAAATCTTTGGGATGACTGATTGTGCCTTGCCAGAGGTGCGGAGAACTAAATCATTTAGCTTTAATTACACTTGTACATATACTAGTGCCATGCATATTCACTTGGATAGGAGCACTTTTATCTCTTATTCCTCACCACTTTCCTGGGGTAATAGTATCCCTATTTTCCTAATGGGTAGAGTGAGGCCCAGAGCAGCTAAGAAGGACTTGGAGATAGCAGAAAAGCAGGGAACGGGATTTTGCCACTGGCTTCCACAGGGCCATGATTTCAACCCAGGAGTCCTGCCCCAAGTTCAGACCTCAGGTACTCGCCACTTTGGGGCTGAGAGAGATTAATGCAATGCACGTGTTTAATGTTATTTAAATGAGGAAAAGATCTGCCTATAGTCTAGAGAAATGAAACCTATTATGGCTGTCAGGTGTCTGAAAGCTGGTTAAATGAAAAACTCTCCCTCTCCCTTAGCGTTTTATGCAAGGTTAGAAGCTAACATGGCTGCTTTAAAACAGACAGGTTTGCCAGTGTGTCTGGAAATTGCTTCAGTTCCTATTGGGATCTATTGGATTTACAGTAATCTTTAATTATAAAATGTAATTACTTCAGGATGGATTATCAGTGTTGCTGTCCACTTCCACGTGTTGCCTGGTAACATACTCGCGCGCCGTAGCCAAGTCTGTTCTGCTAGTTACAGTCTTTTAAAATTTGTAAAGTAAAAGCCTGTGGATATTAGGACTTGTCTAAATGAAACCTTTCAATCAAGTGATGCAGCACTTGCATAACATTTTCCTGTTTGCTAAAAGTGTTTCAGAGGACTCTCTCCACCATCAGAAGGCCTAGAAGTCATTCAGCTTGGCAGTGGTTTTTTGAGTCCATCATTGTATTCATACTCCATCCTTTAAAAAAAATATTCCCTAGGGCTGTGTGCGTGTGTATTTCTGTGCATGTAAAATCATATCAAACAATAACGTGAGCACCTCGGATTATAAACTGACATCAAGGCATTGACGCTGGTGGATCTACTTTTGATTACATCCCTGCTTGGGAGTGAGATTAGAGGCCCTAATCGTTATCATGAAGTTGAAGTGACTCCTCGTCGCGCGCGCACTCATGCGCGCACATGCCAGTCCCTTCCGCTTTTCCTGTTGCCCTATGGGGCTTCGAGAAAGTGAAAGGCAGGTCCTACCTGATGGTGTGGATGATCTTCACCAAAAAAATGGGAAGGAAGCCATGCACCAGTCCTGAGGGAGGAAGCATATGAAAAAGGTATTAAAAATGAAATCAGTATCATTGTTGGAAGACCCTAAGCTTGTACATTTTTAGATCTTTTTATAGCCAGCTTAAATATTTTAAAGGGAGTTAAGGGAAAGAATAAAAACAAAAAACAAAAGGCAAAAAGAGCCTTGAAAGTGGTTATCTTGTAAAGATAATTGCTTTGTATAATGTTCCTAGGAAGCTCTTGAAGAGGAGTGATTGGATGGCATGTTTAAATTTCATCTCTTAGGCATTTACTAATTATCCCAGCCTAGATGGATAAAACTAATCAAATAGCTGTTTGGCAATTCTCTGCATTTTGAAATCTAACTGGGCTAAACATAACAAGAGCAAATGCTAGTACGGCTGTGGGGGTTTCCCCCCCCCCTCTCTGATTCCCTCTCTCACTTTTTTTACAAGTAGATTTAACCCAGGGTTTTTAATGACTTGGATGCTTTAGATGCATATATTAAGCTTCAGCCAAAGCAATGTGCATGTCTACCTTCATAGCACAACATTATTTTGGTAACGTTGTGGGTTTTTTTTTATTGTGAGCTGTGTTTCTCCATCATAGGCCCGAAGGGTTTCCTTTCAAGCTGCTTAGATTACAGAACAAGGCCATAAAAATCTTCTGCTAGAATTCCAGTGGTTGCCTGTCTTCTTCCATGCCATCTTACCATTCAGAACCAGGAGTCGGACTTCTCACGTGCTAAGAGCCCTCACCTCCATTTCAAGTC